TAGTTGTTGAATGAATGAATAACACCTGAAGGAGAAATCTATAAACTCCTCACAGTCTGTCTTTATATACTGCTCTGTGGTGGAGATACAAATCAGCAGATAAATGGGAAAGAGGGAGCAGAAGGGAACCCCCAGCAATACAAGAGCCTAGATCTCAAGATGACAACGAGCCCCCATGCAATGGGGAGCCCCTCTCCACCCCAAACCAGATAGGATCAGTTTTAATCTTTTAAAGACCTTGAACTACCTACATCTAGTAAAAGAGAAGCCTTTTATGTAAGTCCTTAAACTACGTTTCCAAACCACATTAAAGCTAAGGCATCTCAAGCTATGGAGAGTTTTTAGATCTGCAACAGTCATACTAAAAATGAATACAAATGCAGAATACATGTCTCCAACATTTTAGTTAATTTCTCCAAGTTAACCCAGCTTCTACTGTTAGTCTATGATGGGTGCATGCCCCCTTGACCTGGAGCCAGAAGCCCAGAAGCCTCAATAGGGAGAACAATGTACTTCTGTGGAGGGGACAGGCTAAAGAGAGACTACACCCCTGTTTGATCTCAGCAAGGCTTTATTTTATTCACAAATTGAGAAAAAAAAAAAAAAAGCAAAAGCTCTAGCTTCCAAGGCGAAACAGTATTCTACAAAGTACTTTAAAAGTAGTTTGGCACGGTGCGGGCTGGGGGAGGGTTGCTGTGTGGCTCAGTCAGTTGAGCGTCTCACTCGAATTCGGCTCAGGCAGTGATCTCAGGGTCCTGGCTCCACGCTCAGTGGGGAGTCTGCTTTTCTCTCTCCCCCCCACCCCATCACATCTCTCTCTCTAAAAATAAATAAGTGAATTGTTAAAAAATAATATAAATAAATTAAAATAAAAGTAGTTTCCGGGGCACCTGGCTGGCACAGTAGTGGAGCACACAACTCTTGATCTCAGGGTTGTGACTTCGACCCCATGATGGGTGTAGAGATTACTTAAAAATAAAAAATCTTTATAAATACATACATACATACATACATAAAACTAGTTACTGCATTATACCAACTGAGTTATAATGTACCATCTTGGGCCTTTTTAAAGAGCTACTTTCTGATGTAGCACAAGACCTCATGGAAACCCTTACTCCCTGTTGGAATGTAATTGCTATACCATTCTCTGCCTAAATAGCCACTCACCCCGGCTGCGATGAGATATTCCATCAGTCCTAGAGGGAAAGTGTACCCCTAAGTTGAGGTTTGACCTGATAATGATGGCATGTTATACTCTTTAGAGTATCAGTGACAACAAACCCATTTGCTGTCAAATCAGTTTAAAACTGACTCCTTTACCATGTTCTCAAACATCAAATTTTGTTCCCACATAGAAATTCTTCAAAAATGTCAAGTAACTTCATAAAAATAAGTGCTATCACCAGCGTATTTTCCTTTTTTTTTTAGATTTTTTATTTATTTATTCATCAGAGAGAAAGAGAGGGAGGGTGTACAAGCCGGGGGGAGGGGGCACAGAGGGAGAAGCAGGCTCCCCACTGAGCAGGGAGCCCAATGCGGAACTCAATCCCAGGACCTTGGGATCATGACCTGAGCCAACGGCAGACGCTTAACCAACGGAGCCACCCAGGTGCCCCCAACCAGTTTATTTTCAATAGGTTGAATGCAGTTGAAAGTTTAGTACGATGTTTATAAGGGTTAGTATCCTCTCCTCCAACATGTTGGCTGACACTTCACCTTTTATTGATGCTGATGATGTCATTAAATGATGCCAGGCTCCACCATGCCCTTCATCAATTCTTATCAGAATTTTATAAATGAACATTGCATTCGCCAGAGCTTTGCAGTTTATTGGGTCTGATTGCATTGTTGGCATGACAAAACAGAATCTAAGTTCAGCTTGCTCCTTGGTAAGATAAAGTTTTCTTTCTTTTCTTTTTTCTTCTTTAAAATTTTTTTTATAATATTGGATCTGATCTCACAATTTTTTTCACATTTATATTTCATTGATGTGAAAGAGACCATGGGAGCTTACCAAGGTCCATCATATCATAGTAAAATAATAATTTCTAAGTATAAATCATCAGAGTTGTAAACAGACTCCATTGATGAGCTTCATTAATTCATGCCACTTGATCTTTGTATTTTTCAAAGATATATATTCCAATTTCATTTCAAAGAGCATTTCTATGTCTTTATAATTAAAGATTGCCAATTTTCATGCATCCAGCTTTTTTCTTATAGATCATAAGAAGAGACAAGCTCTGGGAAACACTATTTAAAACCCAAGCCTCAACATAAAAACAAAACTACTACATTATACTTGCGTTTTGCAGCCAGTAGGATAAGATTGTAATACTGATAGACCAGTGCAGGAAAATACTGATTCAATTTAATGTAGCTGTTTAATTTGAATCAGTTGATTCAATTGAGTTCAATCCTGTTTATTGAGGGCTATTATATGATAAGCACTCTGCTAGGCATTGAGGGCATACAAATAGGAGTAAGATGCAGAGCCAGCCTTCAGAAAGAATCCACTCGGGAACAGTGAAATGTGCATATGAAACGATGCATAATACAGGGAGACATGGCCTCAGGTCCAAAGGCACGCACATATGAGAAAGAGCGCCAGATTTGATTTGGGGGATCAGAAAAGGATTCATTCACCAGGAAAGACATTTTCTGGCCCATGCAGGATCTTGTCTTACACACATACCACCCTTGCAAAATTGAGTTGCCCAAGCCACCTTCACCTGTGGACCAAATTGGGGTCACATTCACCTAATTCATTTCATTTCAGTGGCTTGTGCCTCTCAGCCCAGCAGTCACTCCACTTCCCCTGCAAAGTTGCACCCTATCATTTCTGAACCCTCCTTGGACAAGTTATGAAATCTCTCCAAGCCTCAGTTTACTCATCTGTAAAATGATTAAAAAATGCCTTCATCTTTGAACGGTCATGAGGATTAAATGAGACAATATACATAAAATTCACAGAAAAACCATCATTATTTTATACTTGCATTCTATATCCCAACCAACATAACAGACTAATAACCCATTTTTGAGAAGAGTAGAGTGAAAGAGATGGGAGGCGACCCCGCTCCCACCCCCACTCCAGGCAAGCGTCACTTTAGGTCCAGAAGTTGAAGAATGACGGAGGGAAGAGAAGAGACGAAGACGAATTTCTCCTTTGTTTGGATGTATTTCATGTAACAAAAAGTATTTTTCTTTTGATTTCCTTGAGAGGAAATCAAAAGTCTATCACACAATTACATATTTATACCTCTCCACCAAATAAAAAACAAGGGAAAATCACAGAAATGTGGCAACAGCTGGACACAAAGATGGACACATGGGATAGGCTGCCAAGATTTCGCCGTGCCTATTTCCAAATATCTGTCTTCACAAGCCTTCTATCAGTAATTAGAGGCATAACTCTCAGCTAGGTAGATTCAGGTTTCTAAAAACTCTCTACAATTCAAAGATAGACAAGTAAGTTATTTTCTACCACTTTTATATCTCTATACCTGCTTGTTTCAGATTGTCTAATTTTGATGAGACTAACAGATGCATTATTTGCTGTTAAGAATAAATTGTATAATGATGAGTTTATTTAGTGAACTGTTAATCATACCACAGAAAAGGGTCATGGTTTAAAAAATCAAACTTTAAAAAGTGTCGTGATTTTATTCATTGTGTACTTTTGTTGGAAACAAACACATTTTGTAATGCAGTTAAACATTCCTTTGTCTTTTTTTTAAAGATTTTTTTTTAATTTGAGAGAGAGAGCAAGAGAGAGCGAGAGAGCAGGAGCAGGGGGGAGGGGAGAAGGGCAGAGGCAGAGGGAGAAGCAGACTCTGCTGAGCAGGGAGCTCAACACAGGGCTCCATCCCCAGACCCTGAGATCATGACCTGAGCCTGAGGCAGATACTTCACCAACTGAGCCACCCAGGAGCCCCAAACATTCCTTTGTCTTTAAACATTTTGTTTTGAGATACGTAGAACCACACGCACTTGTAAGAAATAATATAGAGATACCCTGTGTGCCCTTCACTCAGTTGCCCCCAATGGTAACATCTTGCAAAACTATAATGCAATATCACAACCAAGATATTGACATTGATGTGATCTACTGATCCTAATCAGATTTCCGCAGTTTTAAGTGTACTCATTCATTCATGTATATGTGTCTGAGATATCTGTATTTGGTTCTGTGCAATTGTATCACATTTATGTTCCTGTCTACCACGACTGCAGCCAAGATACAAAATGGTTCTATCACTATAAGGGTCCCTCATATTGCCCCTTATAACCACATCTTCCTCCCCCTTCCATGTCTAATCCTTAGCAACTACTAATCTGTTCCTCAGTTCTATAATTTTGTCATTTCAAGAAGGTTATGTAAATGGAGTCGTGCCATATTTGACCATTTGGGACGGGTCACCCATCATAATTCCCTTGAGATCCCTCTGAGTTGTTATGCCTATCAATTTTTACTGTATCGCTATTGTAATTCATGGTATAGAAGTATTTCAATATGCTAAACTTTCGGCTGTTGAAGGACAATTGGGCTGTTTCCAGTTCTTGCCTATGGCTAGTAAAGCTGCTGTGGAACATTCTTGTACAAGTTTTTGTATGAGCCTAAGTATTCATTTCTCTGTGACAAATGCCTAGGAGTGCAATTGCCGGGTTGGATGGTAATTGCATGCCCAGATTTATAAGAAACTGCCAAACTGTTTTCCAAAGTGACTCTACCATTTTATATTCCCACCAGCCATGTATGAGTGATTCAGTCTTTCCACCCTTTTTTTTTTAACATTATATGACCTTAGTCTGTATGGATGATAAAATTAGTAAATAAATACATGGCCCATATAAGAACAGCTTGTAAAAAGCCAGCCCAAAAAGTCCAAAGGGTAAAAAGGCAGGGGTCATATAAAAAAAAAGCCATCTTATGCAACGGCCTCTCTGACTCGTCTCAGCTCGCAGGGTGGCCAGGTAACACAACAAAGGCTTCACGCTCCTAGAAAGCAGCCGCGGTGACCTAAAGCTTTGCTTGGTGTAAATTACAATAAATAATCTTTTCTTTCCAAAACAGGATTATGGCCTATAAAATGCTTCAAGTAGCCCTGTGTTCAACATTGCTTATAGGTAAGAATCCATTTCTTGTTTATTTATCATGTCTTTTACAATGATTAGGTTGATAGATAACCCCTTTTGACTTTTTCAAAGAAATGAACAAATATGTTTTATTCACAGATCAATTCTAGAGCATTGAGAAAACCCAACTATCATGTCATGTGGTGGTTTTGAGCATGTTAGTGTTAATTGCGTGTGATCATTTTATTCCTAATTATGTATTAACATATTAACATGTCTCTCTTGCTAGGAAATCTAGTTAAGGGCTGCCTCCAAAGAAGTGCTCTTGTGTCCTTGAACAAAGAAAAATTTCAAATGCCTTTTAGAAACTGTAATACTTACATAGTACCATTATGTGGAGACCTCAAGGTACTTTGAGAGTGTGAATTCATTAACCTTTAGAGCAAGCTGTAGCCCAGAGAAGTGGTGTTTTAAAGACAAATCAAGGAAGGTACTGAAGGTCAGATGATTTGCTGCCAAATTGACCCAATAATTCAGTGACTTCTATCTGAATGGAACTGAGAGGTAGTTTGTTTTTCTGTAACCAAAACTGAAAATACTTACAAAGGTGTAAATTATATTCACAGTTAAATCTCTACAATTCATAAATACTTCTGATGAAATGCTTGCATAAGAATAAATTTTTACTTTTATGATCAACTTGAAACCCATGCAAAAAAATCTACATATTTTTCTTGAGGCGCGCACACACACACATACACACACACAAATCAATGAAAGGATATAGGTATATACCTAAAATACGAATCTAGATAAGTGTGTACATATATGTATGTGTATATAATTAGCCTTTTATTCTTAAGCATATAAATAATTTTAATAAAGAGTTTTAATCATCACTGTTATACTTTGCATTTGAGACATGTTTAAATAAATGATTTAGAAATTTTTAGCCAAGTTATTATTAGGCAATTATCATCAATGCGTGTGTAATCACACCTGGTTCCAGCCCACATCTCCAGATGAAGAAAGTGAGGCTGGCTCAGTTTAAGTGTGTGTCTCAGGAGCACACTGTAAATTGAAGTCATGGGCTAGTTATAATCCATCAGTCATTGCTTTGCTTTGCCTGCCGATCCATGCAATTGGCTTTACAGTGGGTGATGGTAGATTAGCACAAGGCGAAAAGCACTAGTGCTAGTCTGCCTTCACCTGTGAACATGCAGGGTCAAAAATACCTGGCAAAAGGAAAACGGTCCTGCAAAATGCCTTTTAGAGACTTTGTTAAGAAACAAGTTGGAATTAATTTTAACTCCAGCTGAGATACAAATATGTTTACCTAGAAAGACAACTGGTTTGACTGATTTCACTTAAAAAATAAAGAAATAAGATTATGTGGTTAAAGTTCATGAAATAACAAGTTGAGAATTAGAAACTAAGGACAGAGGAACACTGACACGGTGGGGTTAGCCCTTCAGATCTCAGGAAAGAAGCTTTTACTGCGTATAGGCTGAGTACACTTAAGTCTTTAGAATCAGATTCATTTGTTACATGAATAATTTATTTAACTGACATTTTCTAAATCATACAGCTCTCAAGTAGGAAATCATAGCTTGAATCAACTTTCTTCCCCTCTTCTCTTCCTCCTCCCATTTTTCATTTAAGAATGTAGCCTATTCATCTGCCCTCCCCTGGAACTCTCTACGTATCCTAAGAAAAGAGCCATCTTAAAAAGTTTGTTTTTATATTTAAAAAAAGTTTCCTCTGTTACAGATTAGTTGTCTAACAAATTACCTTTTTGTCCAGAACTTAATTTGAAGTAAATAGAGAAAAGATCTCATTATCCATTTTCCTAATGGGAATGCTGAAGCCAAAAATGATGAAGAATCTTCCCCAAGTGATTACATTTATGAGCACAGTCCTCAAATCATTTTATTGATTTTCTTAAAATAGTAATTTATACACATTGGAACCGGTTCCCTGGTCAGAGAATTGGAAGTCCAAGTGTCATGATTTGATTAAAAAACAAAACAAAACCCCTCTCTTCAGCATTTAGGTCAAGAACTGCCTTCTCCTACAATAAAGCCAGCAAATTCGAACACTAATCCTTTAAGTCTTTATTCTGTGGGCAGGGGCTTTCCATACGTTACCTTAAGTCAACTCTCTAATCACTGTGCAAATAAGTATGATTTTTATTTTACAGGGGAATTTAGGCTTAGAGAAGCTAAGTGATTAAACCACACAGTTAATCCATGGTGGATGCCGGATTCACATGCAAATTCTACATCCAGCTCTTCTAAGAACGAAACCCTTCTTTCCGCTACGCAAACTGTCCCCTCGGGCACTGCCATGCTGGATATGGGACATGTAGCTATGGAATGGGCAAAGGAGCACAAAGCAAGGCCTCCTCCTGAGGAAGGAATAAGGCCAATATCACAGCCCTTGGTTCTACAAGAACAGGCCAGGAGTTAGGGAGCTGGATGATTTTATGTGAGTAAACAGAGCCCAACTAAGAAATAACCAGGGGCTTTCTATGACAGTTCCCAGTTGTGGTGAGGGTAGAGAGAAGTTCTAAACTCATCTATTCCACCTCCAAAGGGCACTCGTCAAAATCAAACGGCCCCATTTCACACAAAGAAGAAATATGGAAAATACACGCATTTGGGACGTATTTTGCAAAGTAGAAAAACCAGTCCTTGAAGTTGACCCGTATATGGGACAATTTGGAGGTTCACGCCCATATTGTTAACCTGTGATCAGATCACATGAAGTCCAAGGATGTCTTCTGGTTTTAGACAGGGGAAGAGAACTGCCTTTAGCCCGTTTCTCTAGCATTGTTCCAGCTCATACTTTTGACTCCATGCTTAGTAACCAAGAGCAATTTGTCTTGAAGGTTTTTGTTTGTTTGGTTGGTTGGTTTGGGTTGGGCTTTTTAGATGAGAGCTTTTAAGCCCACATTCTCTTCCCCTGGACCCAGTCAGCCCCTCCAGTCCCTCCATGTTTGCCTTCTGCACCATTCATAGAAGGAACGGCCCTTCTCAGTCATCTAGCCTTCCCCCACCATCCTGTTCCTTGGAGAGTCTGTATTTCTGGATATAGTTTTATTTTATTTTATAAAAACTTGTTCTTAATTTTTTCAACTCACTCGGGCTTAAGATTGATCGATGCTCTCAAGAAAGTAAGTAGTGAGAATAAACTGGGAAATATCTAAGTTAGAGAAAAATATCAGGGCCTATGACCAGATTCGTTGAGCACTCAGGGTGTTGCAGAAAAACCATTTATTTTCCTGTCCACATGGCATCATTTGTCATGACGCTGGAGTTGGAAAACCCATCAACACACGCAAGCAATGACCCAGAAGGGGTTACTATTGAATCATATAAAACCCTGCCTTTCATGAGTTACAAATTTCTCTGTCCACAAAATCAAAAGCTATTAAAAGATATGCCAGCCCCAAAATATGCCCCAGGAAATTACACGGTGGTGCATGAGAGCATGTATGTGGGTGTATGTTAGCGTGTTGCGAGCAGGTTAAAAAAGACTGAACTTAAATTCGAGTAATATTAGTCCCTGTTTACTTTGCAAAGTACTCAACACGCCAGCAACTGTAACATCAATAAAGCCAAAGTTCCCTGAGTTAAAAGTTCATTTATGAAAGCATTTCATTAACAGTTTAGTAAGATGACCGGGTCTGAGAGCTGGTCCCAAAGTTCAGTGTATTTCTTTTTTCCAGTTGACTTCCATCAACTCTCTGCCCTCTGTCTTCCTGCTTCCCTGCTCCCTTTTTCCATGGCTTTTCACCTTTTTAAACTTTTGTTTTTGTAACTTCCCTTATTTTGTCTCTGCTTCCTCTGATTTCTTTTCTTGAATTCCCCCTTCTCTTTTTTCTTCAAACCCCAAATTTCTTCTCTCATTCTCTCTCATTAGTTTTTATCTGAATTGCACCAAAGTGAGAGAATCTATTCTAGTAAATATAACTTTTCTATCTTCCACCATAAACTTTTGGGTCAGTGACCAAAATTTAGAGTGGGAAGAAAAAAGTAACTATTTCATATTTTATAACAAAAATTATTTACTTAACACAGAAAATAAAATATTCAACTTTAAAGATTTTATTTATTTGAGAGAGAGCGAGCACGAGCAGGGTGAGGGGCAAAGGGAGAAGCAGACTCCCCACTAAGCCCAACACGGGGCTCAATCCCAGGACCCCAAGATCATGACCTGAGCCAGAGGCAGAAACTTAACCAACTGAGCCACCTGGGTGCCCTAAAATATTCAACTTTAAGAATATGAACCTAAACATGAGTATTTTAATTACTCACAAAATTATAACATTTCTCCTACAGTTAGCGAGATCTTAGGAAATTTTACTGTACTGCCAAGATGTCTGTAGAGACCATTCTCCTGATCCTCTTTTGTCCTTAATTCCTCCTGACCATTTATACTCTAGTTTAATACTTAATTTATGTGCCTGGGCCGTTATTTCATCTTTTTTCTAAAGACATAAACATTTTAAGGGAAGGGATTAAGACTCAGTCCAATAAAAATAGTGAATAATAAATGTTATTCTTTCATAGGTTATGCTGAACACTGAGTGCTTTGCTTTCAGCATCCCGTCCCTGAGCATTTTGGAGAACTTGTGGCAGGACTGTCATGCTTATTCTCCATCTCCGGCCCCAGGCATGGGGTAGCACTGCAGAAAGCAATATCACCCAGCCTCTAAGGGAAATAGGAGCTGTGGCCCATCCTGTGGATTTGTCAGGCATTTCTGTGTCTTCTGCCCCTGCTAAATCCCACCACATTTATTCACAGACGTAGAATTCCTTCCCTCATGTAACCGTCTATGAATATCCACAGATGTCACAGTCGTGGCTTTCCAGGGGTGACAAGCTCCTGCTGGTTGGAGCGCCCTGTCTGTGCTGTATTTTTTTTCCCCCTGTTTCTTAGGGAGGCTCTGAGACAACAGACCTGTTGGATTCTCTGCACCACCTTCTGACACATAGAACTCTCACCCCCCTTCTTGGCCTGCTTTTGATCAAGTTGAAAAATAAACCAAAGATGAACATGGAAGGCAATCAGTTCCCTTTATTACTGAGAAAGGCTAATTTGGAAAATATAACATAGTATAAGATATAAAGGGCCTGGTGACTGGACCCCAGAATTTGGCAAATTTCATATCCAGTTGCAGGTTGCAGAACCAGAAGAGAAAGGGTGATCTCGGAGGGCAGCTAACTCTCAAAAGGAAGAACGAAGAGCTAGCTGGATGTGCCAAGTTATGCCTCTTGGACTTACCAGTTACGGGGGGGGACACGGCCCCTTCTGAGAGGCAGAGTCTACAAAGGGGAGAAGGGTGGCCTGAGGTTACTCTACATGAGCTCACTCTACAGGGAATAGACAGGACTCTGCTATCAGACTCTGTCCTTCCATTCTGTATCGTACATTTCATATCAGGCTTTCTGATCTTTTTAGCATATAGGTTCCTACCACAAGGATAATCTTCATGGTCACGTGCACAGTATGAAGACTATTCAGTTATTTCTCCACTATCAAATTTAAAGACTCTTTTTCAGCCTTCTCTGGGTGATGGCAAAATAGGGAAGGCTTCCATTTCTAACTGTATAGCTTCTGTCACCAGCGTTACTGCTCCTCGGCCCATGATGGGCACTCATCTCTGTGCATAAGGTGAATACATTTTTATTTGTATTGCTTTCATTATTGACTAGGTCTACTTTGACTTCTCTTTCACTTATTTCTGTCTATCTCAGTGCTGAATTTCTCAGCATGTAAGCTGCTTGGCAGTACTAGGAGCTATACCCATTTAGCATATTCTATATGCTTCTGATGCCCTAATACCATGCAGAGAAAGTAAGTTTCAATTAATGACCTATTGGTTATGAGTATATTCCAGTTAAAAATATTAGAGCTGCAAGAGATCTCAATTGGCTTCATATGACTCAGAACAGGAAATGGAGGGACAGGAGTAACCAACTAATAACCCAAATAATCACGGGCAGGGCTAGGATAAGACCCCCCATCTCTGATCCTTCTTGGCTTGTGTGGCAAGAGCTGTGATCTCCAATGTCTCCATACTCTGAAGTGTCTGCCTTATTTCAACTGTACCGAATTTTCTGCCGAGGATATTCGAGACATGTTTAGCTAGCAGAACTAAGCTTGACAGATCCTATTAAAACTATTATGATACGGGATGAAAGGAAGGAGGGTATGTAGGGAGTTGGAAAGAAAAAGAGGAAGATTTTTTTATAGCTTATGATTTTAAAGTTTAAAAAAGGCATTAACCTGGCTGATACTGCCTACGTTAAAAAAAAAATTAAAAACCAACAAAGTAATAAAACTCAAGGTTCAGTTTTCAAACCCCAGCAGTATTATAGAGGCTTACAAACACAAACTGTGATCTTGCTCTCACTAACTTTCAAGGTTGATCAGGCGGAATGAAAAAGGGAGGAGGAATTTCTCAAGCAGAGAGGATAATAGCGTGCCCTTCTGTATTACTTGCATTTTATTTCCAGCTCTGCCAGTGACTTACTATGTGACCTTGAATGAGTCATTTCATCTCTGTGTGTCAATTTTCTCACTTGTAAAGTAGGATAATAAATACTACTTTCTGTCTCTCTCGTGGGTGATGCTATTATCACCACCAATTAATATTTATTGGATGCCTGTTGGGCGCATAATGCTGAGGTAGGTGCTTTGTTCAGGGGCAAGGGGGGGCGGGACATCGTATCAGTGAAACATTTCCCATGAGCAAAAAGAGAGAAGATTTACAAAAGACGGAATTATTAGAGCTTAAAATAGCTATGGTTTATATTTTAAGGCATGCTTCTCTGCCAAGATTTATGTAATAGCATTTTTTTTTCCTTAGCGATTGTACAATGCACCAGGACAATCATGGTGCAGAATATTGGTTTTACTTTTGGATGATTCCAAGTAACACTATCTTAAGTGGTTAATGTACTTTATTTAGTTGTAAATTATATCTTAAGCATAATTTATGTAGGAACATTTATTAGAGGGGTGCCTGGGTTATTAGTTGGTTACTCCTGTCCCTCCATTTCCTGTTCTGAGTCATATGAAGCCAACTGAGATCTCTTGCAGCTCCAATAGGATCAGCAATTTCTCTGTGATCCCTCCAAGCCAATATCAGAATTAATCACTTCCCCCTCAAACGGTCTGGTCACAGTATGTTTCCTTATCATTATTTATGAACTCTGAATACAATATGAGTTCCTTAGCGGCAAGGGTTGTTTTTTGTTTATCTTTCTACACAACGATGATTATCCAAGCAGAGATGAGGGTGAGGCAAGTGGAGATCTTATGGCACAAAATTTGTGTAAGCTTGAGAGCAAGTTTCTTCTTCTATTTGCAGACTCACTTGGCTTCACCTGGGTCTCCCCTCTGGTGATTAGCAGTTTATCCTGACATCAGTAGGCACTCATAATGCATCGTATTAGTTATCTACTATGACCTAACAATTTCCCCAAACCGAGCAATTTAAAACAAGAAACATTTATCATCTTACAGTTTCTGAGGAATTTGGGAGTGGCTTAGGTCAGTGACTCTGATTCAGGAACTCTCATGAGATTACAGTAAAGATGTCAGTGAGGGCTGTTGTGATGGAAGGCTTGACAAGAACAAAGGCATTAGGTTCCCAGGTGGTTTGTTTATGTGGCTGTTGGTGGGAGGCTTCAGTTCCTTGACAGACGGGACTCTCTTCAGGGCTGCTTGAGGGTTCTCACAACATGGCAGCTGTTTCCATTAGAGCAAGTGATCCAAGAGAGGTGCGAGACAGAAGCTATAATGCCTTTTATGTGCTTGCCACAGAAAGCACACACTGTCATTTCCACAGCATCCTGTGGCTACACAGGTCCACCCTCCTAAATGAAAGAAGACCACAGGGGATCTGAATACCAAGAAGGTAGTGGTCTTTGGGGGGCTTCCACAGGCATGCTGGTTTGATTGTATTGAATTAGATGACCAGAAACAGGCCAATATTACTTCTATCATCTGTTACTAATATCTACTGAAAAGTTGACTTCTATCTTTTATTTTTAAATCATGAATAACTAAAATTGCTAACATCCTATTAATAGATAATGTGTCTGAGCCATTTTTTTATCTTCATCACTAGTAATATTTTGCACCTAGAGACAGCTGATTGATGTATAATATCCACAGAGGTTGTCATTTTCAATAGCTAGGCAGTTAGAACCAGAACTTAGTGGGGTAACAAATTAAACTAGAAGTAATAGAGCTAATAACTAGAACCCTGCTTAGTGCCCAAGGTCAAGCTTGGAAAAGCATGAGATCATAAAGCATGTGTAAGTAATGATTGTCTCTTTTTTATAAATGCATAAGGCTTTTATTATTATTATTACTTTTCTTTGGCCCCAAGCATTCCTGTCTCTTAGTCATAATATTGCACAGTGGCTTTAAGGGGAGAATTCCATCTCCTTTTCCTACTAGCTATGTGGTCTTGAACATGTTATTTAACTTTTCTGTGATGTAGTTACCTTGTCTGCAAGATGAGGTGATTGACAGTGCTACTTCTTAGGTTTGTTGTATTATATAAGGTAATTCAGGTAAAGTATTTTTTAGTGCAATGCTCAATAAATGTTAGCTATCATTATTATTTGTGTGTGACATCAATACACACACACATGCACAAATAATCTAGCTACCTCTAACCATTGTCTTTTTACATCCATTTTAAAGATTCCCAGTGCCACATCATTCCTCCAGCTTAACATGTAAAGTCTTGTTCCTTCTCCTATCCTGCTAAATTTAATCTTTTCTTTAAGGAATAGATTCAGCAATTTTCCTGACCATGAAAATGTCTGTTTGTGCTCCAGAGCCCCAAAGTTCAATAAAGACACCTTCTCCTAAACTCCCTTAGCACAATCAAATCCTATGTTGCCTTGTTTTATTTTGAATCTTGTACCCCTCTCCCTCCTCCCCACAGAGGAGAGGTTTCATATCTTATAGTTCACTATAACTCTGGTCAATAGAGTCTTGTTAATGATGAAGCTATAGAGTACTTAACATAACATTTGTAATAAATGCTTCTTTATCACAAGCAATGAACAGATTGTATTGTTACCACAAATAGGTCAGGAGTGTGTTCTTCCTTGATATTGATTCAAATTACAACTCTGAATGTGATTGTGTTTTATTTGGAAATGAAATATAATATAGACTGTTAAAATTTCAAGATACTAAAAAATTCTGGATTTTAAAAACAATCATCTTTTTCTTCCCCTTAATCCTGGACTGGGAAGGAGTGCAAAATGCAAACTTCTTCAATTCAGTGATAGATCTATCAATACTAACAATTTAAACCACAGTGCCAGATTTGGAAGCAGTCTACTTCAAACTGAAAGATATGTTCTCTTTTGGAAGGCTAGGAAAGGAAGATTAAGGTTGTTGACTGCCTGGTTTGAGCCAGCTGGTTTATAGCCATTAATAGACCCAACCCTTACAGTAATCCTATATTATTGTGTTACTGCGTTATTATTATAACTTTTTACATATAAGAAAACTGCAGCTTGGAGAAATTAAGCAACTTGTCCAGAAAAGTGATAGAGCTGCAATTTGAATCCCGGTCTGTGGGCTCCCATGCAGGTACAGAAGGCTCTAAAAACCTTTTCCATCCAGCACATGGCTTTCATGCTGCACTATATGCAGGACACATAGAGTGGTGATAGCTCAGTGATGGGGGAAGGCTGAGGAGCGGTCATCTCCCTCTCCACATAGCTTTCTCAGGGCTCCCTTCTCAGGCTCCCAACCTCCCAAACACCACAGCTGTGTCTCTTTAAGAAGATAAACATTGAGATGTAAACTATTGCCTTAAAAGATGCTGTCCTCTTGGACTCTGAATTACAGGAGCATTGGGAGCGCCATTTTTGTTGGAGGACCCAGCAAACCAGTTCCTACATCTCAAAAGACATATATATTTGCAGGATTACTGGGACCCAGATCAGAATCCAAATATGTGGGGCAACTCGCTGGCTGATCAGGTATTTGCATTAGAAAAAAATGCACCATCTATTTTGCTGAGTAGTCACTGCATCAGCAGGCATCAACACAGTACCAGCCCAACCCACGAGTTTTTTCTCTCTAGCCACCCTGAGCTATAGCTGCCATTTCCTCCCCATCGAGTGCCTTTTGTCTGGTAAACTCCACCTTTTCCTTCAAGACTAAAGTCAAATGTTCCCTTCTTTTTGAAACTTTTCCCTTCTTTCCTGGATGACGTTTGTCCTTCTTTCTTTTCTCCCCTTTGCATGCCATTAACATGTGAATAGCTCTATAAATGTCACCCTGGAATTAGTTGCCTTGTACACCCAACCTCCCTTACCTAGGCTGCAGACGTAAAGTGCACGTCTTATCCATCAAGGTCATTATTCTCAGAAACTTTCAAAATGACTGTTACTCAGTCAAATCTCAGTAGATTATTACATGTTTGGGTGGGTGGATGAATGGATCACGGTCACATTTTAGTTCCCTTTCAGTTATTCAACAGCTTATTTTCCTCTGGGATAATTATGCAAACCTTTAATGTCATTCCTTCATTTGCTTGCCTTTTGTACACTTTTCTATTCATTTGGAAGTCTCACTCCAAGAGAAATAAAGAAGAAATGTGCCTTAGCCAGTTTTATTCCATGTTTACTTTTTTGATGGAAGAAACTCCAGGCCAAATAAAATTGCTGAATTGTCTGAGGATTTCAATTTTTCATGATTTCCCTCTTAAAATTTAGCAATTTAGAAAACAAAAATGTATAACAAATTAATCCCTTCACTTGTTTGTCCTTTTTCTCTTTACACGCGTATCATGCTCTATCACCAGGCTAGAGGGTTGTATAAAGTCACTAAAAAAAATGGAATGCCCTTGTTTTTCTGGGGCCTAGGTCCTATCCTTACTTTGCCTGGCTGAGTTTTAACTGGTCTACCAGGATTGGCTCGTTTCTGGTTAGCATTTGCTGATGAAAACCACCGGCTTCAATAATGCATCGAGTTTTATGCATGTTTTTCTCCAACAGGCATCATTTAGAGGTATTAAAACCAGACATTTGTTTATTTGGCAAATTAAATATTACATAAGTGTCTTCTTTAGGGAATACTGAAATTTTCAAGTACAATCCTGCCTCTAATTGTAGACCAGTGCCATGATCACGTGACAGATACTATAATGTAACAGGACACTACCACATTGCTTCATACAGTGGCTCCAAAATACCATAAAACATTTAAGCATTGAAGTATACAGGTCACTAAAATATGTTAACCAAACCTTATCGGGTATTATTCTTCCACTCTACTTCTCTCAGTCTTTTAGGATTATCTCTACAATAACCTGAATAACTGATATAGCATGTGCTTTCCATACTCAGAGATCATGACTTAAAGTGTCTTTTGTTGCAGGTTCGTGAAACATGGACTGCTTTGAAAACAACAGCACAGTATTATCTGAATGTGAATGCCTTCACGTCTGACATATCCACTGCCCAGTAAATGTGCTTTGATGATTAAACCAGGAGAGCAAAAACAGCGGGAGTCAACATGGCAATGGACCCAAACCATGGGCTTTGGAGACCTGGAGGCAAATCCATGCCACTTACAAGATTATTTAACATGTCCATCTCATGCAGCTGTGGAAAGGAGTAAATATGAAAACCCAAGTAAAGACCTAGAATTAGAAGTTCTCAATAAATTGTAGCTCTTAAAATGAGAACTAAAATAATGACTATAGTAATAACATTTGTCAAAAAGGGGCTTTTATGGACAAGGAAATAAAAAACAAAAAAGTAGGGCGCCTGGGTGGCTCAGTTGGTTAGGCGACTGCCTTCGGCTCAGGTCATGATCCTGGAGTCCCGGGATCGAGTCCCGCATCGGGTTCCCTGCTCGGCGGGGAGTCTGCTTCTCCCTCTGACCCTCCCCCCTCTCATGTGTTCTCTCTCCGTCTCTCATTCTCGCTCTCTCAAATAAATAAAAAAGCTTTAAAAAAAAAAAAAAAGTAGTGTCATTAAAACTCACTGTTGATAGCTCACTTTCTACTGTCTGCTTTTTGAAAGTGTTCTCTTTTTAATTAAAGGAAGAGGGAGCTCTCAAATGGAGTTGGTCCCCCCTTTTTTCTTCAATACTTTTCACTTTTTAAAGCCAGCCTATTTTAAGATCGTGCTTTTGAAACTTTTCTATCAAAGGTGTATTGCTAAGTGCAGTAGAGAATACCATCTTAATTCCTATTTGGGGGTAGATGATGACTAGGAACCCACTGGAAACATTCATCTGTAAGTGGAGACCTCCTTAGGAGTTTTGTCAAATGTGTGCAAGTTTTGCATTCTAGTCCGTAATATATTGATATTTATTTCAATTTGAAACAACATTTTTAACTTTCTGGCCGGGGACATTTATTACTGTTTTCCAATAAAACTGAAAAATTGACTCTAAAGAAAAGTGGACTACATTTGGTTTTACAATTGTCCTAATCACATTTTCAGCAGCAGGTATGTCAGAAAAATCAAACATGAAGAAGCTGCAATGTGAAGACTTCAGCCCAGCACTTTCCTTTTCAAGAGGACACTGGCAGCTACTCAGTATTCCCCATTTCCTATCCCCTGCCCTAAAGGCCTTTGCAGTGAGAAATTTGAGGCTGATGCATAATTTATGCACTTAACTATTATCCATTTCCAATAGATACACAGAAATTTTTAAATCAAAACACAACTGAATGGGCAAAAGAAAGAAGATAAATCATTTGAGTTTGCAGTAAGAAAGTTAAGAGTGTACATGAATCCATCTCAGGGTTTCAACAATAGTATGCATTTGCTACCACAAATTTCCATTCTTTGATCATTTAATTAAAAAATTAGAGAATGCCCAAGTATTGATCAGCGTTCTCCAGAGAATCAGAATCAATAGAATGTGTATATGCTGAGAAAAAGATTTATTGTAAGGAATTGGCTCCTGTGATTATGGAGTCTGGCGAGTCCAAAAGCTGCAGGGTAGGCCAGCAGGCTGGAGACCAGAGAAGATCCAATGTTGGAGTGCAAGTCTGAAGGTCATCAGGCCAGAGCTCTAGCAAAGAGCTGATTGTGTGGTTTGAATCCTAAGGCCATCTGTTGGCAGAATTCCCTCTTGCTCATGGAAGGTCAGTTTTTTGTTCTATTTAGGCCTTCAATTTATTGGACGGGTCCCATTCACATTATGGAGGGCCATATGTTTTGCTCAAAGTCCACCAATTTAAATGCTAAGTTCATCCAAAAACACCATCACAGAGACATCCGGAATAATGTTTGACCTCATACTAGGTACAGTGGCTCAGCCACATTGACACATACGTTAATTATTACAACCTATATTATGTTATTTAGATTGTACATACGTGTGTGTGCATGTGCACACACACACACTCTCAAAGCTGTGATGGAAGCAACATGTGGAGGAGAAAAAGAAAAGGACTTTAATTCATTCATTCTGTTCAGTATAATACAACGAAGAAGCCTGGGGAGTTGTGAGCCACCAATACTGTGAAATTATGTTAGCTGCCAAGGTAATTTTGATTTAGGGAGCACTAGAAAGCAGTTCTACCAAGAGGTTGTCATCAGATTAAACAAGCATGGAAATGGGGTTTCTCATTCAAACATAATTTCATGAGAAATTACTGGAAATTTATATGATACCAGAAAACAAACAAATGAAAGCATTCTTGGTCTACGTAAAATAATTTATCTAGAAAGTGAACAGTTAACTTCCACACAGCTAAGCAAGAAGTGGTGAGTGTTCCATTTTTTTAGAGTAGGTTTTTTAGGATTTAAGAAAACCTAAGTACCACATATTTAGTGTCTACATGCAAAATTAGTTTCGACCAGAACAACTCTTAATTCAGTGTTTAAAGAAATTGATTGTATTGAGGGACCAATTATCTGGCTGACTCAATTTAACTGATTTTTTTTCAAAATGGTAAGTGATTTGTGTGTGTGTGGTGGGGGAGGGTGTCCTCTGATTTGCTTTAAGTCTGTATCTATTTTATAAACTCTATGTAAAAGTCTGCTTATTTCAAGGCTAAAGACCCATTTAACATTTTTAAGAGCCCAGAACAAACTACAGCAATTGCACAATATTAGGAAAAATAGAGAGGATCAGAAACTACCCCTTTCCTTACTTCCTGAGACTCTATATAGCCTCTGCAACTGGATGTTCTCAGGTTCTACTGCAGCATTAAGAACATAAATGCTCTTGGGATGCCTGGGTGGCTCAGTCATTAAGCATCTGCCTTTGGCTCAGGTCACAATCCCAGGGTCCTGGGATCGAGTCCCACATTGGGCTTCCTGCTCAGTGGGGAGCCTGCTTCTCCCTCTGTCTCTCCTGCTCCCCCTGCTTGTTCCCTCTCTGTCTCTGTCAAATAAATGAATGAATAAAATCTTAAAAAAAAACCAAAAACATAAATGCTCTGGGGCGTCTGGGTGGCTCAGTCAGTTAAGCGTCTACCTTCAGCTCAGGTCATGATGTCAGGGTCCTGGGATCGAGTCCCGATTCCTCTTGCCCATGCTTGCTTGCATGCATGCATGCTCTCTCTCTCAAAAAAAACAAAACAAACAAACAAAAAAACCAAAAACCATAAATGCTCTGGTGACTGAATTCTTCTGAAGTAAGTTTCCATTCTGAGGTCTAAAGGGAAGCAAGCTAAGGCCAGTCCTACAGATCCCATTTTACAGATAAAAACTAAAAACCCAGAGACTTCCTTTTCCCCTTCCACTATGTGAGGATTTAGCAAAAAGACATCTTTCTATGAACCAGAAAGTTGTCCCTCAGCAGACACCAACTCTCCTGGCACCTTGATTTTGGACTTCCCAGACTCCAGGACTATGAGAAATAAATTTCTGTTGTTTATAAGTCACCCAGTCTATGGCGTTCTGTTATAGCAGCCTGAACAGACTAAGACACTTTCTTATATCAGTAGCAGGACAAACAAATAAGATGCAATTGGGGCGCCTGGGTGGCTCAGTCGTTAAGCATCTGCCTTCATCTCAGGTCATGGTCCCAGGGTCCTGGGATCGAGCCCCGCATCGGGCTCCCTGCTCTGCGGGAAGCCTGCTTCTCCCTCTCCCACTCCCTCTGCTTGTGTTCCCTCTCTCGCTGTCTCTCTCTGTCAAAAAATAAATAAAATCTTAAAAAAAATAAGATGTGATATAATTTATCTACATGCTGTCCAGTGAATCAATAAGAGAACTGAATAAGAACTCAATAATATTTTTCATTTCTGGACTTCAGTTTCACCAACACATCAGAGTCAATCCCAAAAGATATCCATCCTCCTGTGCCAATTCATTGTAATTTAAATAGAATAACTAATGGATGGGAGTACTGTACATATAGAACAAATTAAAAATGAAGGTATTTATTTTCATGTGTTGATTTTACTTATTCCATTTATTTTCCTCGAATTGATCTAAAACATCTCAGGCAACTAAACCAGGCAAAGAATATATATATCTCACACTGTTATCTTCAATGATAGTGACAGCCGGAATTAATTTTATTGAAAGTAATTTAGCATTGACTGGTTAAATATACAAACCACCAGTCTGAAGCAGAGATATTGCCAGACTCCTTCAAATTAGAGACAAAAAAATAAATAAATGTTTGTGGAGATTACAACACAAATTGGAACTGTCTTAGAAGGCCATTCAAATGTAAAAAAGAAATAAATTATCTAAATTCAAAATATTTTATCCCATCCATCAGTGACAAAAGTTGCAGCATTTTCTTCCTCTGATCATAATGTGAGAAAGCAAGCTAATTATTTTTTAACAGACAATTTCAGGAAAGGTATGCCTTCATAGCCCTACCCCCTTTTGCTCCATCAAAAGTATATTTTACAAGGGATTCTTTGATGATCTTGAATCAGGCAGTAACTACAGAGAGAAAAAATTACCAGGACTTGTAGAGTTGAAATTTTAAATACCTTTAAATACCATACATAGACTCTCCAACATTTTTCTGAGACACTTCTGTTTAATTCCTGGTTCTACCCCTTCCTTGGGGGAAGTGAGGGCTGTAAGAATGTAGCCTCTGGAGCCAGAGGCCTGGGGTCATAGCCCCCTCCGGTGGCTGAGTTTCCTATCTCTGAAATAGAAATGCTAAAAGCACCAGCCTCAGCTTCAGTCAAGTGGAGTGGGGCTTGCAGGAGCTAAGCTTCTGGCACAGAATAAGCCCTCTACAAATACTTGCTTGCAATAATGGAATGTACATTATCTCCACTTTGTTTTTCAAAATAGTGTTAACTGTTAGGAAAAGTTTTCATCTAATAAACACCCAAGGGCTATTGCTCATTTTTTTTTTTTTAAGCTAGAAACAAACCTGATTATGATAGCAGTGTTAAAGAAAATCCCACCAGGGACCTCAGACAATTTTGTTTTACCATCTGAATTGCAGCAGCTTTTTGATTCACATACTACCACAAATCACTTTCCCTTAATACGCCGTAAAATGTTTACCCAAATGATGATAAGCAAGAAATTAAAATTCAGGGAGCTCTCAGTAGTTGGTATTTCCAAGCAGATTAATCTTACTATTGTTCT